CTGACACTACCAAAAGATCATCTCTGCAGCTTGTACCCCAATACTCCATGTGGATGAGCAACCTGACAACCTGTTTATCTGGCTTTCTGGCGTTAGTGCACTTTCTACAACTCCCACCAGAATTGAGAAGAATGTTCTTGTAAAAATGTATTTGAAAATAATAGTGTCCTATGAAAGGTCCTGAAAAATCCTATTAAATTAATGCTCCCCAGATTCCTCTTTATCTTTGTGAAAACCCTGTCAGATTGACATCAGTTCTGAACTCCCATGACTTATCCTCATCCACCATCCTTTCCACCTCTTCTCCCCATCCACCCCTTATCAGAGAGTGAGACTTCTTTGAGCCTGTGTTGCTATCTATGCCATTGTAACTGGTGAAACAGAATCTGAGGGCATTTTAAGGCAGGCTCCTAGGACAACCAGAATGTCAAAATAGGATCCTTTTCTGTGCTAGGCACTCAATGTCCCCATCAATGGGACTGTATAATGCAGTTGTATTCTCAAGCTGCATACTGGGCTGCATGACCCTGACGTCCTTATGGCAATTGAATAAACATTCTCTATAAGCTACAGAAAACAAATATAATCTGATGACTTAATCCCATGTCTTTCATTCAAAGACAGACTTACAAACAGGACTAATTCCTCTTAGTAATACTTGAGTATAGGCAGCAACGGTACTAAGATGCCTCATAGGTTGGATTATGTGCTTTTAGCAGGATAGGAAAATGTGTGAAACAGAGAAATGGAGAACGTCAATATGGATGTAAGGCTTTGAAATCTGTAGTTTCTTTTTTTCCTTTGAGGAAATGCAGCACAGTCCTTTCCAGAAGCAGATATTCTCCATGCTTCATGTAACCCTCCCAAGTAAGGACAAGGAAAAGAAGGTGAAACCCATGATTCGTACTCTCTAGAAAGCATTTGCATCTACCTTACATCTACTTGGCATCAAGATTGTTTGAAATTCCTTCTAAGGAGATCAGCAAAATAGTAATTTTATTTTTTAAAATCATATACCAGATTCCCAGTAAAAAAATATGCTGAACTGAACTGACTGTAGCTCTGCATTAGTCCTACATTAGAGCCAATGGGCTGTTTTCCTGAGCTTTTTTTTTTTTTTTTCTTCTTGATGCATTTAAACAGCAGTTTTTCTCTTCTCCTTGTGATCATGTTAAATGTTTAATTGCTCTTTGCGTTTGCTGATGGCACAACATAAGCCCCTGCAGAAAAAGAGATTTGTGCTAAAACTCAAGTGCTTAGGAAATAAGGAGAGGGGTTATATTTTGGGTCAGTTCAATTATCTCTACTTTTTTTGAATTATATATTAATTTTAATATAAGCTGCAGCACAGAAGTGCAATTAGTATTCAGACAATGCGAGAAAGTCTTTCCTGAAGTTAACTGATGTGTACAATTCATGCAAGGGATTGAGGGAGGTTAGACAGTGCAGATCACTGCCACAACACAGCTAAGCCAGGTCCTCAGACGGTGTAAATCAGCACCGTCAAGGAACC